AGACAGTGCGATTGGCACAGGACAGAGCAGAGTTTAGGGCTGTTGTACATAGGGTCGCTATGAGTGGCAAGCAACTCGACGGCACATAACAACAACGATGTAATTTGAATTTTTAACGAATTAAATTTTAAATTAATAAAACTATGAGTTCTGTTCTTCATCATAGTTCTTAGGAAGTCTCTCTATTAACAGGAATTACCACCCAGTGTAAATTAGTTGTTCAATATTTGTCTATTTTTAAATCATTTTATTGGTTAAAGTAAAAAAGCTAAAATAGCATCGAAAGTATTCTGTCCCAAAAACAAAAGGACTCTGTACTAAAAGTCATGTTCACGTTAATTTATCAACTAATTTCTCCACATTGCCCCCTGCATAGAGATGATTCTGACTCATAGCAGCCTTGTAGGGTAGAGTAGACCTGCATACAGGCTAAATCCTTACAAAAACCGATTGCCTCACCTTTCTCCTGCACAACAATTGGTGTGATTGAATAACCAACCTGTCAGTTAGTTACAAGGTAAATTCTTTAAGCACCATATCATCCAGGTTCCTTACTCAACAGTAAGGAAACAAAAATATGTTCATTCAGGTGATTATTTTCTTATCTCAACTTTAACTTCTCATTTTTTCCTTAATATTAAGTGTACATGTTGTTATTAGTTGCCATCAAGTACAACTCATTGCAACCCTATGCACAACAGATCTGAATCCTGTCCTATCCTGTGCCATCCTCACTGTCTCTGATACACTTGAGCCCATTGTTGCAATCACTGTGTCAGTCTATCTTAATGGAGGTCTTCCTGTCTTTCGTTGACCCTCCACCTTTCCAAACGTGATATCCCTTTCCAAGGAATAGCCTTTCCTATCAATGTATCCACAGTATGAGGGACAAAGGCTTGCCATCCTTGCCTCCAAGGAGCTCTCTGGATAAACCTATTCTAGGACATCCTTTTCATTCTTTTGGCAGCCAGTACTCTTCTTCTAGAAATGAAAAATGTTTAGAGACCTTTTTCTCAATACATTTTTTTATACTGGTTTACTTTTAAAGTTTACTTAAAAACAATAATAGTAATACAGACATTGTTTTTCACACTGGATCTTTCCCTTTTTCTTTCCCACCGCCCCCCTCCACCCATCAAATTGTGAGACCCTATAATTAAACCTCCCCCATCCTCACCCCCTACTCCCCCTCCACTCCTTGGATCCTCATACTTATTCTACAATAATGGTCTTATACAGTGTCTTTATGAGACTGAGTCCATTTAATAGAATGCTTTCCAGTCCTTCCCAAGTTAGGTAGCAATTTACACAATCATTGATCCTTCATGCTGAATAATATTCTATTGTGTGAATATACTGTTCTTTCTCACTCCATTCCATTGTGGTTGACATTTGGGCAGCAAGAATAGCAATTCCTCAATTCTGTATTCAGTAGACATACTGACTAGTAGATACAGTATTGAACAGTGCATTATGGAATATTTTTGTCATCACAGAAGTTTTTCAGGGGCAGTGCAATTGGTATAATAACCCACGAATACAAATATGACTATTTTATTGATGAAAATACTGAGTTGACGAGTGAGTAGAACAAGGTCACATACAACTAGAAAGCAAAAGAACTTGGATTTGTATCATCTGCCTCCAGGACCTGCATGCCTTTTAAAATGATCAAGATATTTTAAGGTTTAAAGACAAATAAGCATACAGTTGTCCCTTTTATTTTAAAAAAAGAAAAAACAAAACCCTAAAAAGCTGTTTTTCAATCTAAATTAATGGAGCTTCAAATTAAATGGAAAATCTGAATAGAAAAGGGATGTGGTAATTTTAACATTTAGAAAAACCCTAGGATATAATTGTTATTATTTGTTGGTATACCAGGTTTATACTATATTAGAGAAGTTAAGTAACATAACCACTGCATAAACACCAATGATATAAAAGAGCTAGAATTTTAACCTATGTCTGTCTACATCCAAAACCCAGGCATTGTTTTTCAGCTACTCTATTCAACTCTGTAAAATCATTCATTGATAACTTGTTAGTTGCTGTAAGCTACTCAATCTCAACTCATGGCTACTCTATACCCAGTAGAACAAAGCACTGTAAAAATTTTCATTGTCTAGTTTCTAGAAGCAGCTTTCCAGGCCTTTCCTCCTAGTCCATCTTAATCTGGAAGCTGTGCTGAATCTGTTCAGCATCATACAATACAAGGAAGGTAACTGGTGTTCCTAAAAGGAACATACACCTATGTGTATATTAGTTTTGCCTTTGTTGAAAAAAATAAAGTAAATGTTAAGTCATAAATTTAAGATGCATGAAATAGTTTTCTTTTCCTAAAAATTTATATTATGGAAAACTAAGTTATTAAATATCAGTTGCTCAACATAATTTTGCTCGTTTACTTTTTTCTTCTACAGGACAATCTTGTGTTGAAGAGAGCATTCCTTGTTTTGGGGTTCTCTGTGCTGGCTGTTTTCAGCAGTGTGTATTTTGGTTTCCCTGGATCAGGAGGTCTGTGTACATTGGTCATGGCTTTCCTTGCAGGCATTGGATGGACAAGCAGAAAGGTAAGTTTTATTCACAACTGTTTTCTGATAAGATTCATATTTTTTTCTTGCCAAACACATTTTTAACATCAAATAACATTTTATAATAAAAACAACTTATAAGCACAAGTATATGTATAATGCTTACCTTCACAAAACAGTCTCCTTTTTCATCATATTTTCATAAATACCTTCTGCATTTTTTTTGGAGAGGGGAACGATCTGCATATTTTTTGTAGTGGCTGCAGAGTATTGCATTTTATAGTTGCATTTTTTTAATGTGCTTTCAAGTCAATATGAATCATAGGTACTCAATAGAACTCTGTAGGACAGAGTTGAACTTCTCCATAAGGTGTCCTAGGCTGCCATCTTCACAGGGAAGGATTCCAGCTGGGGCTTAGCTGCCAGCTGAAAAGTTAGTGGTTCAAACCCATTCAGCTGCTCCATGGGAGAAAGACCTGGCAATCTCTCCCCAAAATTACAGTCTTGGAATTCAGAGGCAATGTCACTGTGTCACGGAGGTACTGTAACTCAGAATTGACTCCTGCAACAGGTTTGATATTTGGGTTAACGCCTTATGAGAATAGATGGCTAGGTTCTTTTCTTGAGAGGACTGACCAGTGGCCACTTAACAGCCAAAGGCTTAACCACTATACACCAAGGCTTGTTATCTACCCATTCATTCCCCAACAGTGTGTTCTAGAATATGATTTGGCTTTTTCCTGAAACAAAGAGGGCTCAATAAAATCACTTTGTTGTTGTTAGGTGCCTCTAGTCACCCATGACTTATAGCGACCCTTTATACAATAGCTCTGAAGTCTGCCCTATCCTGAGCCAGCCTCACTGACTCTGACACACCTAACCTATTGCTTTAATTACTGTGTCATTTCACCTCATCCAGGAACTTCCTTTCCTGGGCTATCCCTTTCCCCTTCCAAGCATGATGTTCTTCTCCAAGGACTGGTGCCTCCTGGCCGCATGCCCAAAGTATGTGAGACAGAGCTTCAAAATCTTTGCCTCCAAGAAGAAACTTGGTTTCAGGCTCTCTCAAGATAGACCTACATGTTTTCCTGGCAGTCCAGGAGTTCAAGACTCTTTTCCACACCACAACTTGAAAGCATTGATTCTTCTTCTTTCATTATTAGTCATTGTCCAGCTCTCTGATGCTTAGCAAGTAATTGCAAAGACCATGGCCTGAATCAGGCACACCTTAGTTTTCTTGACAGACACCATTGCTCTTTAGCACTTTGGAAAGGTTGTTGACATCAGACTTCCCCAGTGCAATTCATCTTTTGATTTACTGACTGCTGGTGCCAAGAGTGTTAATTGTGGAGCTGAGCAAGTTGTAATTGTTAACAATCTCAATAATTTATCAATCTATCGTGGTGCTGCCATTTGGCTAAGAGGTGAGAATTTTTATCTTCTTGATGTTGAGCTTCCATCCGTATTAAAGTCTACGGTCTTGAGTTTTTGTAGCAAATGCTTCAGGTCCTCCTGTTTTGTCAAGCAAGGTTGATGACTTTGTCCTTAAGCAATGCTGTCCATCTGCTTCATGTGGAGAGCTTGTGATACTTAAGCACAAGAGAAAGAGGTGTGGAAGAGCCCTGGTTTCCAGAGGACAACAGTCTTCCCACTATGGGCCCTCTGCCCTGTGGGCCTCACCTCAGACCAAAAGGGGAACACTAATGTACAGGTCTTTTGCTATTCTGACATTAAATAGTTACAAAAGCCTAACATCTACTAAGAAAAGACTCACATAATGCTAAGAAAGTAGCAGTCTGCTTCAGTCTTCATGAAAAAACAAAATAACCCTTCTCCTAAAAAGCAGACCCAACGAGTACCTCAGATAAAGAGAACCAGAAGAATTATGTTGATGTGGAGTTATTTGAACAGCTACGGAAGAAGATGCAAGAGATGGAACAAACAATTTAAGTCATCGAGAGAGAAAATACCCCAGAGACAGAAATCCAGGAGAAATATATTGATGAACAGCTTGAACAAGAATGGTAGAAAATCAAAAGATGGAAGAAAGAATTGAAAGTACAAATAAAGAGGTACAAGAACTTAAAAAAAAAATAATCACTAGACAGAGAGGGTACAGCCGATACAATACTAAAATAAAAGAAAAGCATGAGAATGCAATCCAGAATATTAAGACTGAAATTACAGAAGTATCCAACACACTAGTGAAACAAAGAAGTAAAACTGAAGACATAGAACAGAGAGTCAGTGAGTTGGAAGACAGAAGCCTCACTGAAATCATACTAGAAGAAAAGTCAGAGATGAGACGTAAAGAAAATGAAGAAAAATTAGAATCATGTGGGATGACTTTAAAAAGAACCACATTCAGATTCATGTGCTTGTCAACTTGAATCGGCTGAAGTTTCTATCGGGATAGTTTACTTAAGTCTGGACCCCTGGTGCTGGCTGTGGTCACGAAGATGTCACCATGCCTAAAACACTAAAAGGAAAAAGTGGAAGACAGGAAAAAAAATTCGTCCATCCATATAGTAGAAAAGCAGGTCAAATTACAAGAGAGGCTCACAAACAAGGAAGAAAGGAAAAATTGAAGAATGAAAAAGCTTTGCATCTCAACATTATTGGTGAAAAACTGCAGTGGTTTCAAAATCATCTTGAACCCAAAAAGGTAGAGTATTCAAAGAAAGACGCTTGTGAATTAATTGAAAGTTATTTGAATCGATTCAAAAATGAGTTGGAGCGGATTGAGTTACATAATAGCATCAAAGAAAGGCAGGGAAGGCGACACTGTTCCCGGGAGACAGTTATCAAGCAGATGATGAACGTGAGTGACAGCAGTATGAAGGATATGGACTTGAGATTCCAGACATTGTAGATAGAAATAATCTGAAAACATTCAGGGAATGGGATTTTGATCTGAAGAAATTGCCTAACATTAAAATGAGAAAAATCTGTGCTAATGATGCAATTCCCAAGAAGTGCAAGAAGAAAAATGTTACAAGCATAGACAAAGCTTTAGGAGAATTGGAACTAAAAGCGGAATCCAGTGACTCTGATGAGGAAATGACTCCAGTAACCTGACTTTCATTGAACTGAGGATACATCATTTGAGAGTTAAGTTATACTTACTGTCTATATGTGAGAATTTGCTGTTTAACTTATTCCTTTATATAAAGATGATCTCGTTTACAGTTTAAAAAAATTACTATTTTTGGTTAAACTAGTACAGTGATGAAAAGAAATGAGCTTTCTTTATTAAGTTGTTAAAACAAGGAAAGTAATCAACAAAATCTATTTGACTTCTCTAGAGGTAGGAGTAGATACATATTAGCACAGAAAATACACATATATATATTCCCCCCTCTTAACTTTATTTAGGAGTGCTTAACCCAATAGCAGTGGGTTTTATCCTTATGTATGAAGCCATGGATAGCACTTTGTTTTCTTAAATGTCATGTTAATATCTTTTGAACTGTTAGGATAGCAGTAATTTCTTTCACTGCTAATCTCATGCTAACTTTCCTCTTAAACATTAATATTTTTTATCATAAAATAGGAAATGTAATATAGAATTCATATAGGCTGACATATATTATTATCATTTTATGAGTCAGGATTAAATAATCTCTTATATTTAATATGTCACTTTTTGATGAATGACTAAAAGGTAACATTTTTTATTGTGTGTGTTTTCTTGTTATTATTTCAAGTCTCAGGAAAGGTATAATTGAAGCAGAATGCTCTTTTTCACATATTCTGTTCCACTGTAGTCTTGTTTTGTAGAGTAGTTACAAGTCCATTTGAGTACTGTTATATGTTAACTACAGGTTGTTTAAAATACAACTTTTTCCTTACAAAGATTAAAAATAGTTGCAAAATTTAAAAAAAAAAAAGAACCACATTCGTATAATTGGAATTCCAGAACATGGGAGTGACAGAGAAGTCACTGAGAAAATTGTAGGAGTACTAGAAGAAACCTTCCCAGGTATTATGAAGAATAAGGAAATCCACATGGGTTGTTGGTGAGTCTTCCTCCAATCCTTAAGTACTTGTTCCTCCTTATAAAGTTCAGCCTCCTGAATGATCTGTTCTGCCTACAAATTGAACATGTATGGACACAAGACACATCCCTGGTGCACTCCTTTCCTGATTTTTGAACCATGCAGTGTTATCTGCTCTGGTTCACAACTTTCTCCTGGTCTAAGTATAGGTTTTGCATGAGTACAATCAAGTGTTCTAGGATTCCCATTCTTCTCAAGGTTAGCCACAATATGTTGATCTACACAGTCAAATACTTTTGCATCGTCGATAAACACAGACATTCCCCTGGTGCTCTTTGCTTTCAGCCAAGATCTATCTGACATTGGCAATAATGTCTCTAGTGCCATGGCCTCTTCTAAACCCAGCTTACATTTCTGGTAGTTCTCTGTCAATATACTGTGTTTGGATAATCTTCAGCAGGATTATGCTTGTGTATATTTGTGATATAATCTGATTTAATGGTAAGAAGTTGTGCTGCAGTCCCGAAGGTATGCAGTTCAAATCTGCCAGCTGCTACACAGGAGAAGGCTGAGCAATCTCCTGTGCACTTAACTGCCTCTGAAAACCCACTAGAGAATCAGTTCTGACTTGAAAGCATACAAAATATCCTTGTATATACTATATTTCAGAAACTCTAAGGAAATAGATGATAGATGATAGATAGATAAATATTGTGATTTTAATGTTTACAGAAAAGTTGAATTTTTCAGTCTTTCATTGTTACACATCTCCTCCCTCCACTCCTCCTCTCCCACTCCACTTTTTTTATTTAAAAAAAATTCATTCATTATTAATAATTTCCTCCTTCCCCTTCCCTAGTTCACTTTGCTATGCACCTCTTATTCTGGACTTTTGTCATACATATAATGCCTAATCATATATTGCTTTTAAACAGTTCTTTCCTTCTTCTGCTCCAATGCAGTATTCATTATCTGTTCACTCTTTCCCAACCCTCCATTTTTATGAATTATATTTTAGTTGTATAGGTTTACAAATCCTCT